CAGGTCTTGAGTTTCTCTACACCAATCATAACCTCTAACATCCAAATCACATTTAACCGAATCCAAATAACGTCTACGGGACGAATCCATCTGCTTCGGCATACAAAATCTTTGGTAAACGCAACTCACCCATACGTTGGACAGTTCCAAACCATCTCAGTCTCGACATTCTTGCAACTTCATCCACCGACACAACATTCAAATCATCTGGAATTCTCTCATTTCTTATACGATTTTCCCATTGGTCTCTGCGCGATACTCCTGAAATCATTCGCAAAACTTTCATATCAGCCACTTCCAATCCATGGATTAAATTTTGAGAATCGACCCAGCTCTCGCTTCCGTAAAGGATAGGATGACTGATGAATCAACAATTTCGTCTCCTTACTCAACTCACGTTTATTGAAAACGTGTGATCTAAGCTGTGCTACTACCTTATTTCCATTCATTCCACGTTGTTCAAACTCTTTGTCAAACTTGCCATCTTCAGAGAAGATGCAATCCAAGTACTTGAATTGTGGTACTTGTTCAAACAAGTTTCCATTCAGTTCACACTGGACAGTTTTACGAGTTTTGCCCACATGCATAACCTGGGTTTTTGAACTGCTAATGGTCATTCCAAAGTGTGTACAAGCCGCTTGTAAGTCTCTGACACTATTCTGTAGCTCCTGTTCAGAACTACCGAAAAGTACCAAATCATCTGCGTATGCTAAGGCAGAAATTAAGTTACCTCCAAAGCTACGTTACCCCTTAGGTTTGCTGATTTGATCAGCTTATCCATATAAATAATAAACAGAAGCGGTGAAATTGTCCAGCCCTCTCTAAGACCATTACGCACATCAAACCATTCGCTCAAATCACCATCCACCCTAACTGATGCTTTATTGTTTGCGTACAAACTCTCAATTGCCCTAAGAAGAGACCCATTTATTCCATATTCGGCTAAAGCCGACCACAACTTAGATCTTGGAATACAATCATAAGCCTTCTGCCTTCTCTAGCAGCTGTCTCAAAACAAAAATTTGGTCTTGGCAACCCCACATAGGACGAAATTCCGATTGATTTTCATCCAGAAGCTGTTCAACAATTGCTCTGGTTCGTTTTTCCAAAATTGAACTATAAACTTTTCCGACAACACTCAATAGAGAAATTCCACGATAATTAATGCAGTCTTTATTACTGCCTTTCTTATGAAGAGGAGAAATTACTGCAACGCCCCAGTCCAACGGAACAACAGAAGAGCCCCAATCAAGATTAAAAATACGATGTAACCATTTAACTCCAACTACTCCACTACTCAAAAGGAATTCGTTGCAAACTTCGTCCAAGCCTGCTGCTTTGCTCCATTTCAACTTCGAAATAGCTGCTTGAATTTCACCCATACTGATCTCCTCTGACTCAAACCCATCGATGATATTTTCTTCATTTGAATAATCTCTACCCCCTTGGAAATTTAATTTGCTACAAATATAAAAAAGAACAGAAAAATAGATTATTATGATATTTTTCATGATATTTCTGACATTGCTGCAATGCGTATTGCATAATTTCTTTCAGTATAACATTTTTCGTTCATGGAACTGCTATTCGGATAATAAATAATCATAGCTACCTTTTAATACGTTCTATGTTTCCTGTGTATTTACTTTGAGCTTCGCCATCTCCATAAGCTCGTCAATATGAAATGACAACTCTCAGAATATATTAATCGATAAAAATCAACACTTTCCACGAAATTTTTGTTCTATTTATGGTTTATAGAGGCGTTGCTATGCTGCTTTTGAGACTTTGTTTGCCAATGTATGTTGTTTGCAACGTAACTTTTCATGAAAATGAGCTATCCCTTTCAAACTGATGTCCGTCATTCAGGAATGATATTTCATAAAAAAAATTATTCGGTTTTTATTTCATAAAAAAAAACACTACAAGACAATATTTTGAGAATTTTAAAACTTCTCCAAATTCATCAACAAATTTCAGAGCTATGGCGCTCATTATCTACAATTCTATTGCTGAAATCTGGAAAACTGGAACACTCAATTGGAGATAAGAAAGCTTCGCTTGAATTTTCGTCATTTCCATCATCAAAATCAGTACTTTTCGTAATATCAGTTGGATTTAGCTTAGATAAAGATATGTCGCTGCTATCAATTTGCATTCCCAAACTGGCTGCATCCTTCAATGCATTATTTTGCGCTTTTTTCATCACAGTTTTCAATTCTTCGTCAGAAGGTAACTGGCCATGGAACTGGTGGGTTGTAAGTTTTTTATTGCGTGGAAATATTATGCCCAAATTGGCTAGTTTCGAATGAATAATATCGTTTTCTAGTTCAATCCGTCCCACCAGATGAAATAGTTCGAACAACGTAAAATTTATTTTTGTATAATTGACACTGCCCATTGACCTCATATGGCGAAACGTTTCTTCGCACGGTTGACTGTTTATCAAATTTGTAATGAATAATTCGGGTTTATTTACGTTTCGAAGATGTCTTATTAGCCGTACCATGTTGTGTGAATGCAATTCAACGCAGGCTTCAACATTTGATGTGATGAAGTTGTCAGCTACTTTATATGTATTGTCTTGAAAGAAAACCAACATTTATTAATTCCAGTAAAATTATTTACCAAAAATATTAACTCAATTACCTGGCCGTTCTATCCAAACTTTCCAGCATCTTAAAAAATATGTAGCGTGAAAAATGCGATATACTCTTTCTAATGGATATAAGTTGAGATCATAAAAAGCACTGATTGATTCGGAACATATTTTTAAATACATCACAGTCGCTTCGCTATCAACAACAAAGTCAGCTAATGCCTTCAATACTCTTGGTTCAATAATTTTTTCTACAGACCGATAATTTTGATGGTCGTCTGGACACACATCTCCCATAACCAAACCGTGCCTATCTTTTGAAAAGTTATTTACCAAAATTTTCAAGTGTGTCACATTGACAATCTTTGATCCCATAGGCAAAATTATTCCAGACTTCAATAAACGGTTTCTGAACTTTGCTGCTTTATGCACAATGTCTTGAATACAAAAATAAATGTCTGAAGCCTGCATTTGAAATAATAAATCTTCATCGGTATTGAGTTTCGAGATGGTGGGTGTTTTAATTCTCATACATTGTGATAAACGAGTATCCCCATCTGCGGAAAATCCTAATACTTGTATGTCAAAACTAGATAAAAGAAAGAAAAATATTGTTATTCAATTGATACAAAAACACGCAGTGCATTTGTGCATGGTTAAATACAAACGTACGTTTTCAACAACTGCACTGTATATTCCCATCTATTCAAAACATGTTCCGATTTGAATTTGTTGTCTGACCCAAATAATTGCAAATTGAATGGTGGAGCATCTTTTACTAACGGTTGAGCCAAAACTAAATACACATGAGTCGATTTATCATATTTCACAAATTTCTGAATTTCTTCGGACGAGGTAGCCAAATATGTGAATGGTATTGGAATGCCTGATCTTGAGTCTAACGGGAGTACTAAACCAATTAATTGGTTGGTATTTGTATCATATTCAATTTTCGACACAATTCCAGTTCCGTCTTCGCAAATCCATACTGTTTTAGGTAGCTCGAGCAAATCCAAGTAATCTCTCAGCTCTTTTACTCTCAATTCTCCTTCCACAATTCTGCATTTATTTTGATGAACATAACGCACTAAAAATGAAATTGTATGATATGATATTAATTTAAAGTAAAATATTTAGATAAATTTCAAAAAAATATTTCCTCAATTATTTTATCAATTCTTACCAATTGTATCCGTTTTTGGAATTGGCAAATTGGCACACAATGTGTCATAACACGCTCGTCCACCCCGAAGAAAAACATATGTGCAAAAATTTTTCATTATTTCACTATATCTGTAGGCTTTAGGATGTTTTTTGTTGTTGGAGTTTGCTGTCTCTAATAAACATTTCATGATCGTTGACAAATAATCCTCGCGATTAGTTTCGTCGAAATCTTCGGTAGCTTTAGATGCTAGCTTAGATGCCAGCTCACTCAGATAATTCGGAATATTTGAAATTATGGCATGGTCTCCCGGTTTAAATTTAAATGCTTCATCGTTTTCATACGGAGTTCCCAACAACAAATGATGCTTTCTCTTTACATGTTCTTCTATATCAGCGATATATTTTTCATTTATTCCTTTCAATGCAAGTTCACAATCGAAACCAGTTGATATTAAAATATTTTGTATGAATACTGGAATTTTATATCCGAGTATATTATCCGATGGGAAATAGTATCGTATATTCCCCATACAAATTAATTTTATCGGATCTACGAATACGACATCTGTTAAAAAAGATACCGATTTTTGTTACTACTGTTGCTTTGACACAGCTCAAACGAACTCTTCGGCTATGGCTGTATTACAGATGAACTAATACAAAAGAACACACAGACTCCGATCCTGTGTATGCGTATGTATTGTAAATTTTGCACAAGCAGCTACGATTGACGACTGAGTGCAGAGATTTGTAATACATACGCATACACAGAATCGGAGTCTGTGTGTTCCTTTGTACGTTTACACGAGCTGTATTAAAACACCACTAGTAACAGAAATCGGCGAGTTTTTTAGTAGATGTCGTATTGGTGGAATCGATAAAGAAAAATCTACGATATTAGCGCTCATTGATATTATCCAGCTTGGTAAATATTTCCTAATTTTGCAATAAACGTAAAGGTTCATTATTTATATTTTTCATAAATAATATAATCAGTATATAATTTAAAAAAATAACACTTACCATTTTCATAAAGTAAAAAAAAAAACAAATTTCACGGTCAAGTAGCATTTAAACAAATAAACTATCTGTCACACATCAAAGTCAGTATAGTTTTCAATGATGGTAACACAGTTTTATAAAATGTCACAACGTTAGTCACAATATTATTCGTAATTCGTATACACATGCATGCAAAGTTGCTGCCTATATAACTAATTCGCCGTGAATTCGTAAACAATTCGGAAACAATTCGCACATTCGCGGTGAATTTAAAATAATGAGTAGAAATCGCACGTATATTATTGAGATCCGATCCCCTAGTACATAGCAGAGGTGAGCATAAACAATTGTTTTTATTTAAATTGAGAGGAAATTAAATACAATTTTTTCATTATTTTTATTGTATGCATGCACAGGTGGAAAAGAGCGTGGCCGAATGTTGCCATCGTTCAATGAAAATTACCGATTCATCCCCAAAATTTTATTACGAATACTATGATAGTGATGGTAAGCTTAAATCGATCGAACAGGACGAGTTTAGCGATTTTATTGGCATTACAAATCCCAGTGAAATTGTTTATTTGATGTGCTGTAGAATGCCAATTTCATTAGACGACGACCAAAAGGTAAGATTCTCAACTGCAATAAAACATTTTGTTGAAATATGATTTTAATGTTTATCTTCATGTATTTGACTACTGATTAGATGTTGATTTTCACGCGCGTACGACTTTCGTTGGCATTTCCCGATTATGAGACCCGATTGCAATTTGTTTTGGCTCGTCTGCAAGCTTTGTCCGTGCTTGTTTATTCCAATTCATTGCAAGATAATATAAACACTCCCCGTGTACAAAAAAAGTGACTGACTATTTTGGGACAAACTGACTGACTATTGACTGTAAAAACAAGCAACCTTAGTTAAACTTAGGTATCTTCAATCAATTAAAGTAAGCTATGGTTAACTGCAACAGCTCGGGTCTGTTATATCCAGGATTCTTAGAAGAATTAGTTGAAATATTGGAAATGCGAGAAACCAAACTAGTGGAAATACGGGCAGCCGCTCTACGAACACTAACATTGATAATCCAAAGGATCGAGAACTATCTGTCAAAATATTTCCTCCTTTGCCAAGCGAAATTAACTCGATATACGGCGCTGATGTAAATGTCACTCTGTCATTTCACAATAATACATTTTTGGCTTGACAATATATAAGCTCTTCATTAAAAATGCATACACATGCATAATTATTGAATCGTTGAAAAAAAACATGTCATAAAATATTTTTCTAACATTTTTCATTAAAAAATTTATAAATTAGGGGGGATGGGCCCAATATGACCATACATCTTAGCAAAATTTCTAGAACCGAAACGACAAAATATTTTTTTGACATATATATACCAAATGAAAGAGCACTGAAAAAGGTCACTTTTGACCAAAGAAACCATGTTCAACGGTTTTCAACGGTTGACAAAATTTTGACTGGTTTAAAAAAATTCGAAAAATTGCGAATTTTCAAAAGGGGGCCCAATATGACCACCTATGAAACAATCAATAAACATGTTCCGAGGGTCAAGTAAAGACGCAATGTGAGTAACTTTTATTCAAAATTCATTCATTTTATTTTATTTTGCCATGAAAATAACTTCGAAATTCGGTAAAAATTGAACTGTAAACATGAATAAAAAAAAATCAGTTAAAAAATCGGTTTCACAATGAATCATCGGAGTCACAGTTGGGGCAAGTGTACCAAGAGTTGCGCACATTTCAATTTTGGCACATTTCAAGTGCACCTCTCTCTTGCAGGCTAGCTTGCAGGTATTGCAGGCAACAGAATTCAAATTGGTGAGCTTTGCAGGCATGTTCTTCATGCAGATGATGCAAAAGTCCACATCTTCGTCCGAACTTTCTGCTTGAACGGCTGGCTTTGTCTGTCGCAAAGATTTTCGAGCTGGTTTAATCGGCGGTGGTTGTTTCTGATTGCCTTTTTCCTTCTTCGTCGTCTTTTTGGGCGTATTTTTCGCCTTTTTGGCCGTTGCCTCTTCACGTCGACATTTTCTTGCCTTTAAATCGGCAATGTTGTCTGATGATGTTAGCACCGTACTTTTCATGGGCGGCCGACCTCTGTTGATTTGTTTTTTGGGTGTGGCATTTCGTTGCAACGGTCCTACAGTTACCAGACGTACTGAACCAGGTCCTACGCTACTGAACCAGACGTTGATGGTGCCGCTGATGACACTTCTTCCGTCCGACCAACCGCCAAGTCATTCGCCGTAGAAACAAAAATGATTCGCTGATCTTCTGCATCGACATTTTTGACAACCTCGGCCTCTCCATCGATCTCGGCTTTGCAATGTATCTTCTTAAACTAGTTCTATCTATTCCGAATCGTTTAGCAGCTGCCGATTTAGCCATTTTGTTCATTTTAATGGCTTTAACAGCTTGTGCCAAATGCATATAGTTGAACGCAGCGCGTTCTGATTTGCGCTTATATGGAGCCATTCTATCGGAAAAATCCATCAAAATCCATTTAAAATCAATATAAATCACAAAAAACCATCATAAAAATGAATAAATATTGCATTTGACACATTTTTACAAAAATTAATAGGTGGTCATCTTGGGCTCCCAAAAGTGGTCATCTTACCCTCAACGCGCAATTTTTTACGCGTCAGTGAAAAAAAGTGTCTACATACAATATCATCAAAATCACTTTGGATTATGATTATACGACTCAAACCTACAATAATTTCAAGAAAAAATGTTTCATCGATTAAATAAGAATCCAATGTAAATAGTAATGACAATGCGACACCTACCGTAAAAATGCAAAAAGAAACTTAGTTGGTCTCCATTGTAGCATTTTGGTCCGCCATGACAGCATCTTCGTTTTACTTGACCAATCACAGAGAAGCAAAACGAAGATGCTGT